TCCCTGTCGCTGTTTTCATTCGAGCTTCTATTTCTACACTTTTTGCCATTGTCATTGCTACTGTTTTTGTTTGTTGTTGTTTTTGTTGTTGCCACTGGCACTTTTGCCGGCCAAAAGGGGGTCCTACAAAAGTGAAAGGGGGCTTTTTGGGCAGCGGGCAGCGGCAGGGGCAGGGGGTAGGTGGAACCCAAGTTCGGTAACGGTTTTGTGCATTTTTGGTGCTTTTGGCGCAAAAAAGGATACGCTTGGATCGGACCCGGACCCAGACCCAGACCCAGAATCAGACCCGGACTCGGCTAGGTCTCCTGTCCGGGCCGCTCTTATGTCACTGTTCAAGGATGCGCCCATCCAGGACACACACCAGGGAAAGAAAGGCGGCAGCAGGAAGGGGCATGCAATGTTGTGACATCAAATGTTCATGTTAACAACTTTTCCAAAACTCAATGAGCTGTTGTTTGTGTTGCTTGGCGCCCAAGTGTGTGAGCGGGGATTCACAGGGACATGTCGGGGATGGGGAAGGAGGAACAGGACGAGAGTGAGAACGAGAACGAGACCGAGAAAGAGAAAGCTAGAGGGCAGGCAGCCAGCCAGGCGCAAACACGAATCGAGTGTTTTGTAGCAAATAATTTTGCACAAAGTTCTCGCCTTAACGATTTGAACACATGTTAACATGAGGAGTAACAACAGTTGCACTCCCCCCTCCCCCGGCTCCCGATCCTGCTGCTCCCGCTCCTGTGCCAGCATTGGGCCAAAGGCCAACAAGGATAATACTTCGACATGATAATAAATATGCTTAGGGCCGACGATGAGCCAAATGAAAGCGACTGCAGCGGCGACAGTCCTTCAACCCCCCTCTCCTTTTTTAATGTCTGATCTCCATGCAGTGAGATTCTACAATAATAGTAGTAGTTAAAAATGGAAGCTCCGTATAATGTGCAGTGTTAATTTTTTTTTCTTAACACAGGCCTCAATCTTACAACAAATCATATTTTCAGGGTTGCTCCACTATATTAGTTTTTGTGAATAAATCGAGTATGGTTGTTTAGAAGTTCGTCCTATCCAATAAACAAACTAACTATAACCAATAACTACGTTGCATTCGTTGAAAAATATGTTACAGGTCGAAGGAAGCTTATCCGACCTTATATCGTATATATATATTGATCACGATCAATAGACGAGTCTATTAACTCCGTCGGTATAAACGTCTAGATCTACAAGAGATTTGGGACTTAGCATGTAGATAAGTAGTATTTCAAAGTGTTTCCATGCCCATTCTACCGACCCATCGCAAACCTTTTAGAGATCTGGTAGAAGCCATTATTTGTCAAACCCCCACTGAAAAACTTTTTCGGTCAATATCTATCGATACACCAAATGTTAATAACTGCAAGCTTCTTCTTCTCTATAAGGGTTCGCAATGATTTTACTACATTCAAAAGCCTTATCATAATACTTTTTAACAGCTAATTAAATATTCAAATATAATATTTTCATAAGTTTTTACATATTTCGCCAATAATTGTCATATAGTTTGCATGAACACTGTTATTGCCAAAACCACTATTATCGTAACCACTATTATTATTGGCTTGCAGAGTGCGGCCCGACAGTGGTATAACATGTTTATATGATGTCTAATAAAATGAAGCGCGAAAAATGTAAAATTCGTATTCCGAGGAGCCCCAGAAATGCCTCCTGGCCCCCGAACTTTTCGCTCCCTGAAATTGCAAATTCGCATACCAAATTCACGCTAGCTCTCATCGTGTGGGAGGAAATTGCGTATTTGAAACACGTTTAAGCAGCTGCAGGAGCATAAAAAGGATAAGGGACCAGCGAAGGAGGCGGCGGTGGAGCAAAAGAATCCTGCACATGCAGCTTTCTCAACCGCCCACTTCGGCTCCCATTCCCACACTCTCTTTTTTCCATCACAGCCCAACCGCGATGCATAAAACTTGCAACGAAGACAAATCGTGACACAAAATATGGCAAATTGTAAGCGAAATTATTTGGCGTTGTGGACTAAGGGCTGATTCCGGGGGAGCTGCCCGATTGAGTTACGCCCGCGGCCCAGTTGGCCAAACCATCGGCTCAATCACTGATTGGCATTGCCTCGATTGATCGGCAGGCCAATCAAAGCCGCAGGCTCCCAGCTGCATCGCAGGTCCTGGAGCAGCGGCGCATTCAAAAGGGGTGCAATTAGGCCGCTTGATTACCGTCAGATGCTCTTGACAAAATTATATCAGGAACTGCAGTCGGTGGCTTTGTGAATACAATCAATGCAGGGGTATAGTTGGATTTGGCTATTAGGCTTAAAAGAACAATTTAATATTTGAAAAAAGTATTTCCGCAGAGCTCTTCTTAAATCTTAAGTAGTAGCAATATAATTTTATATCACTATGCAATTCAAGCTTGATACAATTGTCTGATATTTGTGCACCTCTCTGAGATTCAGATGGAAATGAATTCTCCTCAAACTTTTAAAAGAACAGAATGCGAGAATGCATTGTCAATCGAATAAATTTATTCTACGCCCATGATGTTCCCAAGCCCAAAGCTCGGTCTCTGCCCTCCATCTCCACCACTCAGTTCGCCCTTCGCTCTGATCCTCTGAGTGGATGGGATGGCTTAGGCGGCACTTGAAGCCTCCAAGGAGCTCCGGGAAGGGAGCGATGGTAAATAGGTGGTAACACGTCCTTAAATATGTACCCGGGGATGAGGGAGTTGCTGGGGATGTCTTGACCGGGTAAGTCGCTAAGCCAACCTTGTTTCACACGCCACATCCTCGACGGATGCTGATGGTGTCGGCGGTCGGGAGAACCGATTTGCCATGTGTCAGGTGGATGAAGCGCGGCATCCATGGAGCAACGTTAACAAGTTGCCCACCTGGGCACATGTGAAGAGATTTACGGCGGGGCAGAGCCCGGGAAGTCCTGGGAAGTCCCAGCTGTCTGGCTTCCCAGTGGATGCCAGCTGTCTGTCCCGATCCAATCCCATCGGCTCCGCTCGCCTGCATCCTTTGTCTTTGCAATCGAGCAGGGATACGGGATATGCGATGGGGGATAGGAAAGGGGATACGGGAATGGGGATTCGGGAATGGGGCAACTGACAGCCAGTTCCGCGGTGCAGTTTCCCTGTCCCCAACCTTCCCTGCCTGGCACTTTACCATGCGCTTTTATTATTATAAAATACGCATGAGTTAGTGTGCATATTTCATGGATTTTGTGTATAAAAGGGATAAAAATGCAATCAGTCGCAAAAACCAGCAAAGTGAAACGGACAAAGGATGGTGCTGGAGAAGTAGCCACCTGCCATCTCACACCTCGCACAACACCCAATTCCCACCGATTCGAACACCAGCTGTCACCCGCACAATCTCCGCGAAATCCCAGCTGAAATGTCTCTTACAATGCGATTTGTCCACACAAAAAGACCTTGATCTGGGCTAATTTCATAATGGAAATCTATGAGCGAGTGCGAAGTGGTTACGAATAAAGAGGAATTCGAGGACAAAAGGGACATCAAATTCTGTTTTGGGATTATTTTTTTAGTTTTTAATTGTCATTTACAGGATTTCTCTTAGTTCAAAAACTTTGAAAACTTCAAAGTTATTACAAAAAAATCATTGATCATTCTTTAACATTGTTTAGATTGGTCATTTAAAACTGAAGTTTCGTCTCGAACGAAGGCAATAAACTTATTAGTATGTGACTTAAAAAATATGACATATCCATCTAAAACAATTAATTAACAAGCTTATCATCACTAATATTTGTATTACTGTTTATATTTAACCTTTTATTAGGACGAAGATTATCTGATCCCACACAGAAGAAAACATTACAATAATTTCAAATTTCAGCATGCTTGGGAAGTAATGTTTGGCCGAAAAGCACATCAGAAAAGACAGGAAAACATCGACGAACCCAAAAGCACTTTCAGGGTCAGCATCCCATCCAAAACCATCGCCAGGCCAATTACTCAATATGATGGATGGCGAATGGTTAAGTTGCTTGAATGCTCGAGTTGCCCGACCAAAAACCTCGTAGAACACACAAAAAGGGCAGAGTTTGAGTTCCAGGGGTGGCAGGGTCACACACACACGTGCCGCACCGTAACAGGTGACCTCAACCAGAGCAAATGAGCAAATGTCGGATTAAACAGAACTTGCTGGTGGAAAGGAAAAAGAGAATAGCTTTCAGAGGGACGAGGGCGGATCTAAGATGGTCTATTTTCGAAGCATACACTCGGAGAAAATCTGGAACATTTTAGCGTGGAAAATTGATAAATTCGTTTCAAATAAAATCCTTGGAACACTCATCTCCACCAAAAAACCTCACACGGATGCTATGTTGGTTTCACTGTGTTCCTGATCTAATAAGTATTAATTTCACAGTAAATTTAAGTGTTACCCTTTTATACTCATTACTTTTTAACAAAATTAGCCGTTTACTGTGAAACTGAACATAAATAAGTTTTTATTCAGGGTAGCTCGATGAAGGTTGTGTAAGTAAACTAGATTTATATTTATATCAAACATAATGTATGTTGGGCATTTAATAGTATGGTATAGTCAGGAAAGATTTTGTGTCAATATAACCGGACAATCATCGATTATGTTTTCATAAGAATAACTCATATACCCCCATTTTTTCCCGAGTGTCGAAACTGAGCCCGAGCATATGTATGTTGCCTGGTTAAGGACACAAAAGTCATGACTGGAGTGAGAACGAGCTCAAGTGCCATTGAGGAAGAGTGCTCATATTCCCAGAACCCCCCCCTTACGCCCCTTAAAAGGCGCGGCGCAAGTGCGCGAGTAAATTCAAGAAACAATTTTCAGGAATGACTTAACTTTTGCGTTTATGTGAAAAGTTTCGCAACGTGATGTTATGGGAGCGGCGAAAGGATATGCAATTTACTGGCGGTGCAAGTGAGGGAATGTGTGTGGGTGTGGGTATGGGTGGGGGGTGGTGTGTGTGGCCTTGAGTATAGGTCTGGAGTCAGAGGAATCGGAGCGAGAGACTCTGCTCCAGGTCCAGGCCTCTGGTGATGTGGCCAAAGTCCTCGGAGTCGAGCTTGTCCTTCTCGGCCAGGATCTGATTGAGGCGATAGCGCATCGCTCGAAACTCGCGCCGCGTCGCTGGGAGGCGGACGAGCAGGGCGTGGCACTGCTCCGGACTCAGCAGCCCGTCGCCATCCTCGTCGAAGAGGCGGAGCACGGAGGCCAGTTTCCGGTCCAGCGGCTCACTGCGCCGGAAGTGGGCCAGGCCGCGCACGAAGTGCCGGAAGTCGAGCGACGGATGCAGCACGGCGTCCACCAGCCGCTCCGCCAGCGGATGGGCGGCCACCGGCGGCACTCGGAGCAGCTCGCTGCGCAGCACCCGATCCTCGGAGTCGCGATCCAAGGACTGGTAATGGCCGTAGAGATAGTCGAGGCGCGCCAGCGAGAAGCCCGTCTCCCCCTGGATATCGAACAGCTCCTCGGCGGTGAGGTGGCGGGATGCAGCCGAGCCCATCGCTTCCTTGATCCTTCGCCGGCTCCTTGCTTTCACTGGGCTGTACGAAAATATATATTTTGACGACTGGATATTCTCTGGAGCTCTCTTCTGTGTATGTGGGTGTGCATGTGTCTGCTTGGCGTGTGATTGTGTTTGACTGTGTAGCGGAACGATCGGTGGGGAAAGGCCAGCTTCGGAAGCAAAATTGTTCGATCGAACAGGGATCATTATGCTAAAGGCCAATTTCATAGTTCAAATGTAGAATTATATTTTGTACACAAATCCACTCCGTCCGTCTGAGTGAAAATTTCCCAAAAGTCTTATTTCTAATGCAAGTAATATATTATATAAGTCTGAACCGCCTGTCCGTTTCTACACAAACTAGTCCCTCAGTTTTAAAGCTATCTGCTTGAGGTAGTATATAAGTCGGAACGAGCCGGATCAGGCGACTATATTATATAGCATCCATATGAACAATCGGAAATAAAATTAAAACAAGAAAGAAAGCAAACTTTGGCAAGCCGATGTTTATGTACCCTTGCAGTTATTACAAAACGACTACATTTCGAGTTCTATGCATACATTACTATAAACAATGAAGATATGTCGATTTTGCGCTGCATTTTGCCATCGTTTCTATCGCAGCTATATGATATTGTTGTCCGATTTTTACAAAAGTAAAAGCGTAATTCTGATATAGTAAGTAATTACTATATATCATATTAATATTTTAATAAATAGAAAAACAGCATGATCAAATTTGATTTCCTCTTCATTTTTTGCGTTGCAAACTTTTGACTGAAATTATAATACCTTCTGCAAGGGTATAAAAATCTATATCCTTTATTATATTATCTTTTCACTTATGTATTTATAGAAAGAATTGTGAAATCAAGCGAATAATAATATGTCGACTTACATTTTGTGTATTTGTAATGTACAACTTTAAAAATGATTTTCTTTATTAAGTTAAAGCGTTTTCATATTAATCTTTTAATCATTTTATATATATATATATTTATATATATATATATATATATATATATATATATTATATATATGTGGAAATGGGAAAGTCTTGACAACCGTACTCAAAACTAATTTTAAGCGAACGAAGTCGCGCCGGGTACAGCTAGTATATATATATATACTGCCCTGCTCGTATATAATATATATATATATATATATATATATATTATATATATATATATATATATATACTAGCTGTACCCGGCGCGACTTCGTTCGCTTAAAATTAGTTTTGAGTACGGTTGTCAAGACTTTCCCATTTCCACACCACCCCTGAGGTAGAGAAATTGGTGCGTTTTTTTTAATGTGGTAACTCTAATTAGACCTATTCCACTGAAACTTTCTAGGTTTAATAATGTTAATTAATATGATTACTTTAAAACCTCTGTGTAAACAACATTTTTAGAAGATCCTTCAGGAGCGAGAATAATAAGGCTACTGGCAGAGCTAACTCTAGAGCATGTGGCATAAAATTGTCCATGAGAGAAGCAATCTTCTCTAAGATCTAGTCCAGCCAGCTTCAAACTCTGCCCCTGCGATTTATTTATAGTTATTTCAAAGCAAACTTTTAGAGGGAATTGTAGCCTTTTAAACTTAAACGGCAGACTGGATGGTATTAATGGGATCCTGGGTATAAACACTGTTTCCCCCTTCGCGCACCCCGTAAATACTGTTGCTTCGATTACATTCTTATGAAGACCTTTTATCTGCAATCGTGTCCCATTGCATAACTTTGGGGGACTTAAATTTCGCAATAACATTACGGGTGCTCCAATCCTAAGAGACAGATTATGCTGAGGAATTCCTGGAGGATTCAAAGAATTTAAAAATTCAACAGGGTAATGAACAGCATTATCAGCATCAGGAACAGAGTCGACCGATTTATAGGAGACTTCTAAACCATCAAATGAGTTTAGCAATAAATTATTAATAGTGGTTGCTCTTTCATTTTTCGTTGTCAAAATGGCGCGCTCAGATAGCCAATCTAAGCTTTTACATGATATGTTGGAAATGTCAGGAAATATTTTGGATGTAAGGTCTTGAACGTTTTTGACTACATTTCCTAAGCGTGATGTTATAACTATTTTTCCATCAACTGTTGAATGGACGCCATTCCCAATTTTTAAAAGAGTTTCGGCAAAAATACCTGCAGAACTGTCTCCTTTTAAGTGCACTCGCATATTTTTCATGAGCGCTAGTTTGTTTATCTGTGGCCATAAAAATGAAGATTTTAAACAGGCCTTTATTTCGTCAGCTCTTGTACCTCTTGGAACAACAGGAAGGGTTTGGCGAAAGTCTCCAGCTAGCAGGACTGTAATACCACCCACCAACATAGTATTCTCATTATTATCTTGCAGGGTTCTATTTATGGCTTCAAGCCAACCTTTATGTGACATTGTGCACTCATCCCAAACAATTAACTTACAATCTTTAAACACCGCAGCCATATTACATTGCTTTGAAATAGAGCAATGAGGTGTTTCTAAATTAACTAAATCCAAAGGAAGTTTAAATGTAGAATGAGCAGTTCGACCTCCATTGAGCAGGGTAGCAGCTATACCGGAAGATACTACAGCTAGGGCTATTTTTTTTTAACTTCTAACTTTTGCCAACAATAAGTTTGTCAAGAAGGTTTTACCTGTCCCTCCAGGTGCATCCAAAAAAAATATTTCACCCATCTCAGCCCCAACGCTTTGTAAAATTGTATTGTATACGACTTTTTGCTCGTTCGCTTAATATTAGTTTGGAGTTAGGAAATTGGGTTGTCAGGACTTTCTTATTTCTTATTTGCGCGTTTTTTGAAAACCTTTGTGTTAACAACCTTTGTAGAAGATCCTTCAAGAGAGAGAATCAGAAGGATACTGGCAGAGCTATATAATAAATGAAAGTGATCCAAGTAAAAGTCGTGAGCTTGTATACTTTTTATCAGTTACAATGCTATCAATGCAATTTTAATTTGCGCACAAATATGTTTGTAAATGGGAATTTGTTATTTTCAAATTTCTTGTTTTGAATGAAACGAAAACCTTTGTACACACAGTAAAAGATTGGCATCCCATACAAAAACAGCAAAGTAACGTATTATTTTCAGATTCCACATTTGATCGATAAACGGGTATAATAATCATTTTATTTGTATTTAAGCACATTATATACTTTCGAATAGAAACATACACACACATTGTATGTATGTACATGTATTGTACATATAAGCAAATCAAAACATATCCAAATATACATATGTACATACGTATTTGGTCAAAAGTTCGAATCTTAAGATTAATATTTAACTTGGAAACATTTTGGCTTTGCTTACAGAATTTGTAGTAATTTTCTATTTTCTTCCATGGTGGAAATTAAATAAGGCTCTTACTTCTGCTACAAAATGAAAAATAAAACCTAAGCATTTGATCCACAGGACTGCCTATTGATCGAAAATCATATTGATCGGAGCAGCAGTTTAAGTTTTTAAAATCCTAAACAAATTTAACTTAAATTGCCTCTTTCCCCTCCCCTTTCCCTGCAGCACTACCCCTCCCCCTCATCAGTTTTCTTGGCTGTTGCTCTCTCGGCCGTCGCTCTCTTGGCTTCTGGGTTTCGTTCTCTCGACAGGCTCCCGCAAAATACAACGCAATGACTTAGAAAATCTAAATAAATTCGTTAAAAATATTAAAAAAATGTTAAAAACTTGAAAAATTAAACTTAAGCATTTGGGCCATAGAATAACTATTGAGCGAAAAATCATCTTGATCGGAGCAGCGGTTTAGATTTTTTAAATCGAAAAGTTAATTTTAAATGTAGCCCCCAAATTATGGGGGATATCAAAATTTCTTTTAGATTTCTAATTAGGCCTTTTCAAAACCTAAAATTCGGAAAAAATCAAATATCGAAATTCCAACCAGTTTAGAAGTTAAGCTTAAATACATCAACTTTTTTTTGCTCAGAATAATGGATGTTGGAGCTGTTTGGGGCCACTGGGGGGACATATCGGATCTTAGTGGGCGCCCACGCCCCCAATGGAATACTGTGAAAAAATTTGGCTGCTCTTGCTCTTACGGTTTGGGCTGTGGCCGTATCCCCTTAAAAATCGGTCTTTCATTTTATAATCTTTAGGGATATATAATATCCAAGTATAGTTATAGTTTCACTGTCTGCTTGGCAAATGAAATAAGACAATTAATTAGTATACATATGACCTTTACGTATGTCCCTACTTTCTCTCCTATAGGGATGATTCCTCGCCCACTGCAATACATTGCTTTCTTCCCAGAGGCAATAGAGGCGAAACTGTCCTCTTTAAGGAGATCGTTAATTCCAAGCCAATAATGGTAATGTAGTTTGAGTTTCGCTGAAATGGCATCATACTCCCCCCGGTCTTTAATGGACGCCAAGTATTATCCCATCTCACGACAGGTAGATTCAGCCTTACTCCACGTTACTCTAATTACTTGTTCTATATAAAAGAACCTCGAACCGATCTGCTGGAAATGGGCTGGGATGGTCTGGTTTTTTCTTGTGGGATTCATCTGGGTTTTTTTGGGGCTCTTTTCTATTCTTGGTGTGCCTGCCGAATTGTTTGGTGGATGTGCTTTATGGAGGGCTGCTTGAAATCCTTCCATTTTGCTTAGAATCGTCTGAAGTTGGGCATTCATTTCGGAACGAACCTTCTCTAGTTGAGTATCCATTTTGGTTGGAAAGAATAGTTTTGGGAAAGATTTAAACAAATAGCTCTTTAACTGAGAGACTACTTTGTGTGAGAACGGAAGGACATTTCTATATCAACTCGTCTAGTGATGCTGTTTAAAAACATATACTTTATGGAGTCGGAAATGCAATCTTTTTACTGAAATTATAATTACCTCTGCAAGGGCTTAACACAAATAGAAATTGGCTTATAGGTTTTATTTAGCTGGACTTTTTGGATAGCTACCTATTCCATGGCGTCCAGCTAAGGGTATACATATGATAAATAGAATGAGGGCAATGAG